TTCCCGTCGTTAGGGGGAGATAAGAAAAACTCTCCAAGCGAACGACAGGAAATATCTTGGTGTGTCCCCACACTGTCTCATTTTGATCCCCGCACTTTACATTGTGAAAGCGAAGTGAAAAGAATAATTGATCTTCAAAACGTGGCAAATTCGATGCCCGATTCATTTACTGATATTGCTAAAGTGACAAGATCACACATACCTGCTGTAAATGCACCTGCAAGGTTAGAAGTCCAAACTAAAAGGAAAAATGTCGTAATGACAGGCATTACATCCACACCGAGTGGAAGTGTGGGTGAGGCCGTGGCTCCTCAAAGGAAGAGAGGAAGGCCACTTGGTTCGATTGACACTCATCCAAGAAAGAAAAGGATGAGTGCGGCACAAACTAATCCGTTACACATCGATGTTGAACATCCATCCCATGAGATTATCTCTGATTATAGTTATGTCCATGAATCATTACTGGAGGACGCTCCGATGTTTGATATAATTCAAGAGAATAAAGAAATTTCAATGGATTATGAAAGTGCACATATATTACTAGAAAGATCTTCAACACACATCGATGATGTATTTGCTTTCAGTGTTGCTCTAGAGATAATAGAACATGACGATATCGAACCACACTTTATTGCAGAATGTCAACAAAGAGTGGATTGGCCTAAATGAAAAGAAGCAATCCAGGTAGCGCTCGATTTCTTGGCAAAAAGACAGGTATTTGGTCCGGTAGTGCTAACCCCTCCAAGTGTAAAGCTGTAGGACATAAATGGGTATTTGTCAGGAAACGTAACGAGAAGAATGAAGTCTTAAGATATAAGGCTTGCCTACTGGTGCAAGGTTTCTCACAATGCCCTGGAATTGAGTATGAGGAGACATACTCCTCTGTAATGGATGTTATAACATTTAGGTACTCGGTGAGCTTCCGAAGAATTGGAAATGCAGCTTATGGATGTGGTTACTGCATATCTCTATGGGGATCTTGATTCTGAGATATACATGAAAGTACCAGACATTGTTCCCTTACCCAAATCAAGTGACTCTAAACCACGTAGTGCGTTTGCGATCAGACTAAAACGTTCTCTTTATGGTTTGAAACAATCTGGTAGGATGTGGTATACCCGCCTAAGTGATTACTTTATTAAAGAGGGATATAAGAACAATGAAATATGTCCATGTGTATTTCTTTTTATAAAGCAAGTTCTGGATTTGCAATTGTAGCTGTCTATATTGACGATATGAACATAATATGCACTCTTGATGAAATAAGAGAAACTGCAAATTATTTAAAATCTGAATTTGAGATGAAGGACCTTGGGAAAACTCGACTTTGTTTAGGCCTTGAACTAGAACATCGAGTTGGTGGGATATTAATCCACCAGTCTGCGTATGTTCAAAAGGTACTCAGACGATTTAACATGGACAAAGCGCATACTGCTAGCACTCCCATGGTCGGCCGAAGCTTAGATCCTAAAAAAGATCCGTTTCGTCCAAAGAAAGAGGATGAAGAGATATTAGGAGCTGAAATTCCATACTTAAGTGCCATAGGTGCATTATTGTACCTAGCTCAATGTACTCGGCCGGATATAGCATTCTCAGTGAACTTGTTAGCTAGATTTATGATACGTTACAAATTGTCACATTTTATTTGGTCATATTTTAGTTCTTTATTATATTTTTAATGCATTTTATGTTAAAATAAATTACATAATGAAATATTTGGCTCTTTAGGCTACTTCTAATATTTTTACATTAAAATCATAAGTTGGGTAAAGTTTTTATTTTATTCCATGTTGAAATTAATTTTTCTTATATGTATTTTCAAATATACTCTTTGGAATAAAAATAGATGTTAAGTTCAAGGGATGGAGACTTGGGCCAAGCTTTAATGGATTAAAGAGTGCAAGTTTTTTATCCAATTGCTATACAAATCCACCCCAACCCAACCCACATTAAACCTAAAAAAAGAGAAAAACATGATGGGTATAAAGAGAGAGGAGCCGCATCATCTCAGGGGAGAAAAAGAAACGGAAAAAAAGAGGCGAAAAAACATAGAGCAGTGGCAGTGGCGACCTCCATCCTGCGTCGTCGTCGACCTGGACGGCTCCACATCTTCCAATTTTAGAGTTCAATTCCTCTTTTCTTCTTTTTAATATGTCAAAATTTAATTTTTATTGTGTTGATTTTTGCACTATGATAGCTTAAAACTCCATAGCTAGGGCAAGGATGAAGCTCATATATTCAATTTGATATTTACTCATGATTTATTTTTCCATATTGATCTTAAAATGTTTATTGTCTATTTTTCCAATTGACCATTAGGGTTAATTTTTAGATGAGTTCAATCATGTTTTTCTCATGGTTTGAATAATCCTGATAATTGTTTGACAAGTTAAAAGAGCGGATGTTAGTTGTGATTTCTTGTTGAGATACAATTAATGATTTGAATTTCTCTCGAAACTTTGAAAAATAGCAAACGATAGAAATTGTTTTTTTAGAGCTTAATTGATATATCCTCCATGATAACGAGACTTGGTTGCGAGATTATCATGCGTAGTAAGTTTGGAAAAAATAATGATTGAGTAAAAATTACATTTGAATATATAAGTGGATTCCAAGTCCTAGTTTTTTCTCATATTTGAAAACTTATTTTTAATCTCTTAATTTTCTAGTAGTTAGTAAAATCTTTAGTTTTTGTTTAATTTAAAATTCTTTAAAATTATTCACTTTCACATTTAGTTTTTCTTAAAATATTAAGTTTTGTCCAACTAGATTAGAAATATTCGATTGAATCTAGAATAAAATTCTTCACATAATCAAGTCCCTGTGGGATCGACCTCGTAAATAAAAGTTCGTGCACTTGCGAGTAAATAAAATATCACAACAATTTAGCTCTGCGCCAACGCAACATCCATGGAACGGTATCAAAAATATTTTGAGGTATTTAAAGGGTACTAGTGATATGGGACTGTTCTTTCCATACAAAAGGACAAAGGAAACTGTGAATTCTAAGAAAATGGTTGAAGAAGGAAGTTCATCCTCAAATCTAGAAACACCAAATGATGTACTAATTGGGTATGCTGATGCAGGATATTTATCTGATCCACACAAGGGTCGTTCCCAAACTGGTTATGTATTCACAGTTAGTAACACTGCAATATCGTGGAGGTCAACAAAGCAAACTCTAGTAGCCACCTCATCAAATCACTCAGAGATAATAGCTCTACATGAGGCGGTTCGCGAGTGTATATGGTTAAGAACTATCATTATACACATTCGCGGGACTAGTGGTTTGAGACCAACCACTGAAGAACCCATATGCATTTACGAGGATAATGCTGCTTGCATCGAGCAAATGAAACTTGGATTTATCAAAGGTGATAACACCAAACATATTTCTCCCAAATTTTTCTATAATCAACAACAACAAACTCTCCTCAAGATCCAAGTAAATCAAATAAGATCTGAGGAGAATGTGGCAGATTTATACACCAAATCATTACGTAAAGCCACATTTGAGAAACATGTTAAAAACATTGGGATGCGTAGACTTTCAGATCTTCCTTGATCATGTACACTTCAGGGGGAGATTTGAATATTCAAAGGTCTAGTTTTTATTTTATGTTACACTCTTTTCCTTAAACCAAGATTTATTTTTCCCATTGGGTTTTGTTACTTGGTAAGGTTTTTAATGAGGTAACAATATGCATGAATATAGCGATCGAAGTAAGGATCGATACTCTTTTCTTCGTTCAATATTTTTATTCATAGGGTTTTGACACTTGACGAGATTTTGATAAGAGATCAAGATTCTGCAATTCTACCTACAACTCAGCACAAGGGGGAGTGTTGAAAGAATTTGTAAATTAGTGTGCTGTTGTGTAGATAGAATTTACTTTATATTGAATTGTGTGATACAATTGTACTGGCCCGTGGGCCTTCTCTTGTAAAACCGTACGAAGCTCTTCCCTATATAAGGGAGCTATTATCAATAGAGAAATACACATCTCTCACAACAGTTATTAGAATTGTATATTTTTAGTGACTAGGATTTTTCTTTTTCTTTTTAACAATATAATACTCTCACAGTCTCACTATATATAGATATATACAACTTTAATACTCTCACTATAAGTTTAATACTCCCTCCGTCCATAATTAAAGTTCTCACTTTCTTTTTTGGTCCGTCTATAAATAATGTTCCCATTTCCTTTTTTAGTAATTTTTTTTATTAAAATGACCTAAATACCCTTCCTATTTCTTTTTCTCTCCTTCCTTCCTGCGGCAGCCCCCCCTCCACCCTTTCTCTTTCCTTTTCTTTTGTCCTCTCTTCTTTTCTTCTCCAGAATCTTCCCAGGCCATTCCTTCTCTCCTTTTTCTTCCTTCTTTCCATTTTTCTTCTCTCCTCTTTTTCTTTTTCTTCTTCCGATTTTTCTTCTCTCCTCTTTTTCTTCTAGTTCTAATTTCCTTCTTCTTCCTCCCTCTTTTCTTCTCCCCCCTCTTCCGATTCCTCAACATTTTTTTCCTCCTCCTTCCTCTCTCCTGCTTCTTTCTTTTCTTCTCACCTCCACCCTTCAGATTTGGTCCAGCCACACTCCATTTTCGTCTCTTCTTATTTCTTTTCCTCTTTTCGATTCGATCGCTCATATCTCTATCAGATCTGAGAAATCCGATTCAGATCTGTATGGAGATCGGCGGCGAGGAAGGATCTTCTCTGGCCGGAAATTTGATCGGTCGCCGGAAATGTGTTCTGGCCGGTTGGGTTGGGGGCAGTCATTTGAGCAAGATAGGAATGGGGGAAGTGGGGTAGGGTGGAGGGTATTTTGGGAAAGTCAAGGAAATTTTTACACTTCCTTAGAGTGCGTCCTTAGAGTGCGTGCCCGGTCAAACCAGGAATTTTAATAGTGGACGAGGGAGTATATATTTTTATTTAGACCACACTTAAAATAAATTCCAATACTCATTGATCTAAAAAACAAATACGTAGTAATCCTCAGCACTTAATGACTTGGGAATTTCCACCTCCCTAACAAAAAATCATTCATACGGTAAAAAATGTTTAGAACAAACTCCAACTCCTTCGGCAATTTAAATTATACAATCGGATGTACGGGAAGAACCGTACTGCCGGCGTTAAGTTGGGCTAAAGAAAGATCGACAATGAAGAAGGTGAAATCGATTTGCCGCAAGAATCTATCTACGGCAGGTGAAATTGGTATGCGGCGATTAAGGCAGGTAGCACTCGTATTTGTATGGGTGCTGCTTGGAGGAATACCATAGGAAGGAATCAAAGACCAATTTCAATTAGATCCTCGACTATGTGAAACAAATAAGGTAATGGATATTGGTCTACAAAATATTTGAAGTGTTTGTCAGATTGCTTGAAAGTCATGTTTCCTAAGAGGAACTATTTCCTTTAACTACGCAAACATAAATAGATATGTAAATAAATATAGTACAGTCTGCTGGGTCTGAAAGAAAAGACTATCAAATACAACTTTCTTTACCGTTCTTTGATGTGGACTGTACCAAGTTTTATGGTGGGATTGATTGGTTAGAGCCTTAGACTTCAAATAAGAACTTCAATGAGGTACACACCTTGTACTCTAATTTATTTTGCCTTTAATTTTTTTAAATTTTCTACTTTTTATCAGATTGATTGATTAGAGCCCCATACTCCAAACTTTAACTTCTTCGAGCATCAATTTAGTGAAAGGGCATTTTTTGAAGTTAATATTTAAACATAAATACCATACTACTCAACAATGCTCTTGAGAAGAAGCTGCATGGATTTGATTTTGTACTTTTCAAAGTTACAGTTTAACGGATTCTCATGGCCTTTAAAGTGAAAAGATATGTTCGTGTTTGGTTTTCATTTTTGTACATTGGTCGTTGACTATGCTTTCTTGAGTATCGTTTGGCTAAGAATTTATAGGCTTTTGGTTTTTGCTTTATTTATCAAAAGAGGTGGGTTTTGAGTTGCCCTAAACATTACTTATTGATGAGCATGTTCCAAGGGGTTAACTAACCAGGACATAAAATTGTATTTCTTGCATCACGTGTTTGTGTTTTTCAAAAATGCATATGTTTGGAGATGCGAGGGCAGCATTCAATTTTCTTATTCCTAGAGGTCGACCATGAATTTTGACTTTTGGGCATATTTAAGAAAAAGAAAAATAGAATTGATTTTCCGAAATTGTCAGTACTTTTTGTTGAGGTGGGTCCCTCTAAATGGCGGGCCCACATGCCATGCTTTTCAATAAATAAAATAAAAAAGAAGAATGGGGAAGTCGGCTAGAGAAGAGAAGAAAAACTCAAATTGAGTTTTGTTCTCTTTTTGACCAAATAAGTGGCAGCTTATCTCTTCACAATGGAAAAGGATTATGGCGGCTATTTGGCTAAGGATCAACTTGCATGAGGCGGCACAAATTGTGGCGGTGAAGTTTTGGCTTATAAAAGGAGATTTAGTCTCCTTTATTTGGCATTCTCTTCATTTTTGGTTACATCCCAACCGTGAGAACTCAAGAGAGAGATATTTACTCCATACCAAAACAAATGTTTTGTTTTGAAGAAAAATTGGGAGTGAGTGCTTAGGAAATGTTTTCCTAAAAGAAAAGTGAGTGAAAAAATGTGTGCCTACTATTTGTAATAGTAGAAGAAATTATACACTGGTACCTACTATTTGTAATACTAGAAGAAGAAATAGAAGTGTTGTTTTGTGGACGTAGCCCAAAAATTTTGGGTGAACCACGTTAAATTTCTGGTGTCCTACTTTGCTCTTTTATTTTTACCTCCATATTTTATTATCTTCCGTTGTGCAAACCCCAACACTTTTAAGGAGGGATGACGATGAATGAGAAGATAAGGTGGAAAAGAGTGACTTATTTTAGAGGTAGTTTAGGTATTTTACTCTTGAAAGTTTACGAAAACAACTAACAGACAAGTTATTTTGGGACGGAGAAAAAAGATAAACAGGCAATTTAAAATGGGACGGAGGTAGTAATTAATAAAAAGTTTAGTATTATTAATTAGTTTAAACCATTCCAAACAATTATTTCTAACTTTGCCTATTTCTAGGTATTTGGAACATGTGGCTTAACTAATTTTCTTACCTTATAGACAAAATAAAAGATTAAATTCCAAGGATTAATTAATAATATAAACAATTCTATAATTAATAAATATTTATTCATTTTCTAGAAATTAATCCAATTACTAACTAATACATGAAAATAAATTAGTTAATCTTAATTCCGAATCCTAACCAATGTAAAATTACCAATTCATAATCTCAAACATTCAACACCATCATAAAAACTTATAAAATTTTCAAAGACATATCAATCATCAATATATCTTAAACTAAACAAAATAATATTTTATTAGTAAAAAAGTTCAACAACAATGTCCAGAAAGATACAAACTTACACTGCTCCAAGAGGCTTAAGAATTTATATTTGAGGATGAAAATTTGCTAACAAATGTAATACTTCCTCCGTCCCCAATTTGATTATAATTTTTTTTCTCTCTCTTCTCGATAACTTTTGTTTGTTTACGCGATTTCATTAAATATTTGATAAAATAAAATATTCTTGTCACCTCTTGTTTTGTAGAACTTTTGACGTAGTTTTTTAATATGTAATTTTTATAACTTATTGATATACCAATTTGTAAATAAAATGATTTCAAAAAGTAGAAAATTTTACTCCGTAACCCGCAATTTGTAATCAAATTGGAGACGGAGGGAGTACAACACTTGCAGAAGAAAAGAGGGGAATTTCTCCCTTAAAAGGGGGGAAAATCACAAAGAAAGGCTTGGGGATGAAGGAGACCGTGTTGGACAATTAACAGGGGCTGCCGACCACCAGGCGGGAAGAGCAGCAGTCGCCAGTCAGCTCGCTGCCACCGCCGCCGAGTATTACAGAGCAATCACGTCCATGCTCGACAAGCGGGCAGGCAGGCGCCCGCCTGCCAGCCCGCCCACTGGTGCCCCTCCGTATCTGACCTCGCTGCTACATGCCTTCTGCTCAACATCGCCGCTACTTCGACCGGCGGCTGCTTACGAGGCTGCCTGCTGCACCGCTCCGATCTGTGGATGCTATCTTACTCAAAATTGCATTTTGAACACTTTTACACCGAGTTCTAATTCCGTACCGTTTGTGAAATAGGATTATTTTTCTATTAAAAATTAATTCTCTTTATTCTATTCTTGACCCATTTTTGCATATTAATTCAAAAGCATTCTTTTTATGACCAAATGAAGAATAATGATTTTCATTAATTGAATTGAGTTGTGATTAAGTGTATTTAGATAAGAGGAGTCTCAATCCTAAGCAAGGTAGGAGAGACACAAGTAAGGAAACCTATACAAATAAGGTAAGGGAATAATACAATATATTAAATATATACAATATATTTAACATGCTCTCGGCTACGTCGGATGTGGAGGAGGTCTGATTCCCAAGCTTTGTCTGAAGTCCAGAAATAATAAAGAAGGCAGTCTCTTAGTGAAGATATCAGCATACTGCGAAGACGAGAGAACATGGAGAACGCGCACATGGCCTAGTGCTACTTTGTCACGGACAAAGTGAATATCAACTTCCACGTGCTTGGTGCGCTGGTGCTGCACAGGATTTTTCGAAAGATACACAGCACTGACGTTGTCGCAAAAGACAAGGGTGGCACGCCGAAGGGGTTGCTGCAGCTCAAGAAGTAGATTCCGGATCCAGCTCGTCTCTGCTACGGTGTTGGCCACGGCGCGATACTCAGCTTCGGCACTGGAACGAGAAGTGGTAGCCTGACGCTTAGAGGACCAGGAGACTAGATTATCACCGAGAAAGACACAGTATCCAGAGGTGGAACGTCGGGTGTCTAGGCAACCGGCCCAGTCAGCGTCGGAGTATGCCTGCAGGGAGTCGGTGGAGGATCGCGCCAGGTGGATGCCATGGGTGGAGGTGCCACTGAGATAGTGCATGACACGCTTCATGGCTGTGAGATGAGCATCACGAGGGGCATGAAGGTGTAGGCAAAGCTGCTGGACGGCATAAGTGATGTCAGGGCGAGTAAATGTAAGGTACTGTAGGGCTCCAACAACGGATCGATAAAGAGTAGGATCAGGGAGCAGAGTGCCTGACGAGGAGGAGAGCTTTGCCTTTGTGCCCACTGGGGTGGAGATGGGGCGACAAGATACCATCCCGGCCCGCTCAAGTATGTCATGAGTGAACTGTGTCTGGTGGAGAAAGAGGCCATTGGTCGTCCTGTGTACGTTGATGCCGAGAAAAAAGTGTAGGTCTCCCATGTCTATCATAGCAAATTCGGCCTTTAGCTGCTGGATGAGATGCTGGAGAAGTGCAGTGGAAGATGTTGTGAGAACAATATCATCAACGTACAGGAGTAGGTAGGCAGTGCCCATGGCATGAGAGAAAACAAACAGGGATGTATCCGACTTGCACCCTCGAAACCCAATAGTCTGAATGAAACTGGCAAATCTGTGATACCAAGACCGCAGTGCCTGCTTGAGTCCATAGAGAGCCTTCTTGAGTCGACAAACATAGTGAGGTCGAGCGGGATCCTGAAACTTGGAAGGCTGACTAGCAGAAACTGTCTCCTGTAGCTGACCATGGAGGAAGGCATTTTTGACGTCTAGCTGGTGAATGGGCCATCCTCTGGACAGAGCAATGCTAAGAATGATGCAGACTGTAGCAGGTTTGACAACGGGGCTGAAGGTCTCGTCGTAGTCGACGCCAAAGCGATCGTTGAAGCCGCGGACCACCCAACGGGCCTTGTACCTGGATAACTCACTTGATGGGCCAAGTTTGTGTCTAAAGAGCCATTTGCCAGAGATTATATTTTGGGTGGGGGAGGGGGGTACTAATTCCCATGTTTCATTCTTGATCAATGCATTATATTCATCACACATAGCAACGTGCCAGTTTGGATCTTTTAGTGCACTACGGTAAGTCGGAGGTAAGGGGGAGATAGGGG